TCCACTGACCTGTACCCTTATGTGATGTGCACTTTTCATGTGTGGTATTTTAATGAAAAGTTGCAACACTGGAATCATAATAGCTTCCATGTCACAGCATTATTCTGTAGTTGAAAACCCATTCGAATGTATTAAACTCCAAGGGCAGTAATTTTAGTCTATTTTTTCATTGCTATATACACAAAGCCCAACGTGGCACGCCGGGGACACTCAAAATGTTGGTAATCCAGTGCCATGCTTACTTATCACCTGCCACGGAATACAAACTCTCTAGACGTTAGATGTTACGATTGTAATATTATTCTATCATTGTTTAAGCTGATTAAGGTCATGTTTCTCCTTAAGCAGTGCGGTCTAGACAACAGCATATTTTAACATCAGGTGTCCGTTACCTCGTGTTCCTAAGTTCATCTCTTCATTGGATCAAAGGCAGGAAAGAAATCGATGGCCATGGTGAACTTTACTCTGTGGACTTACAGGAAGGGATTAAGTTGAAAAATTACTCAGTTCTTTGTCACAGTGTGAGTTAATTATTTATGCTACTGCTATTGTTGCCATTATTGGTTCTCATGTTCTTGTTGGATTCTGGTGTGAAAAATATTGTCAATTAACCGAGTTGTGTTATTTTAGTATTATTTGAAAATATTTTAATTGAAATATAAGACTTGTGACAAAGGGACTTAAATAGATGTTGTAAATAATTAACTTTTTCTTCAGCAGAAGTATTGTGTACTTAATGAGTCCCTAGGGCTTCAGAATTGTTCAAATCTTTATTAAGCACACCATTGAACATGAGGTCGAACGCCTTGGCTTTTATTATCATATTAATCATCCCAGGAGAACTCTACGCAGAAGGTAAAATTAATTCTTAATATTCCTTATTCTCTAAAACTTCTAAAGGGAAATTTTAACATTCATTTAACTTGAGCTTTTAATATGGCCTTTCATTTTTATGTTTCGATTTTATTAAAAACAACAAACTTCTTGGAAATATAGTTTGTTAAAATATTTAGATATTTTTCCTGTGGGCAAAACTAGTAAACTAGTCTTATGGCAGTATAACTCAGAAAAACAGAACAAGATGTAAAACTCTTTGTATTTCTAGGTTTCGAGGCCCAGGAGATCACAATCTAAATACTTTAAAGCGTTTTCAGGCTCAGAGTACCGCCATTTAGAATTTCTATTTCATACTAGAATCTATTCCTGACACTTCAAATCTTGGACAATTGTTATTCTCTGTTCATAAAGTGAGAGCTTAATGTGGGAAATTTGAAAAAGGTAGACCAGAGAGCATTAGAAAGATTTTTGACTCTTGACACTTTTTTTAACCCTAATTTATTCACTGGTTGAAGCCATTCAGCAGTGATTTGTAGGAGAACCATATAATTGATTCTGTGAACAAGGAGACTTTTGAGAGTGAAAAGGACTTTATTAATAATTATGTGGGACAACAGGTGTCAATCAGGACTGTTTAGACAAACCAGTGCCTGTCGGCTCCATGACCACTAGAAATGTTTATAGCCAGGCTGCCGAATGTGTGGCTTGAGTGTGAGAGAGAGGCGGGCATGACTCGTTAATAGTGATAGTAGGCTGTAGGGATAAGAAACCAGGCAGGTCATTAAGTGCCAGCAAGACTGAGTATGGAAAGCAGGAAACCACAGCAATAAGACTTTTCTAAAATAAATGCCTTAGGGAATCTGTCAAAACAGAATGTCCTATGCATTATAATTGCCTTTTAGTCAAATAGTTTACTATAAATTTCCCACTAAAAAGAGGTCTGCAATTAAAATCATGAAAGTAAAATAAATAGCATACATCCCATGTGTACATAATTCTACAATAAGGTAATACATGCATGAACAGTTTTCTTTGGTTTTATTTTTGTCTAAATAGGGAAAAACCAGCTGATATAGTCTATTACATACACCAGGAAGACATTGCAATATTCTAGCAAAACTTCGAATTGTTATATGGCTATAATCTTCTTTCACACAAACAAAAAAGCTGCCTGAAGACAGGGACCATGATCTCATTCCCGTGCTGTCCCCACCTCCTTGGGTTTGCATGTTTTCAGGACTTCCATCTGTTTTAGAACTCCCTGTCCAATATGGCGGCCTAGCCGTATATGGCTGTTGAAATGTGGGTAATCCAAATTGGGATTTGCTGTTAAGTGTAAAATCACAGTGGAATACTGACTTAGTGAGAAGAAAGAATGGAAAATATTTTTAATATATTGGGGTGAGTAAAGCCTATTATTAAAATTAACTTCAATTGTTCCTTTCATGAATGTGGCTACTAGAAATTTTAAAATTACATTTGTGGCTTGCATGATATGTCTAGGAGAAAGTGCTATTTTATAATGTTAGAGAAAACTTCCCTGAGGAAGTGGCCTCCCCGGTTTTAATCTGACTTTTGAGTGCTGGGATTGCTTGCAGCTTAATTCTGATTGAAAAGGATTGCCACAGAAGTATTTTAAAATTTTAGGTAATAAAAATAAGTACTAGGTAAAGTGTTTGCAAACACTTCAGTTTTCAGCTTGATATTTACTCATTTCAGAGAAACCGTGTGGTCTTCCGAATGTGGAAAATGGAAGAATTGCCCCATACTACTACACTTTTGAAAGTTTTTACTTTCCAATGAGCATAGACCAGAAATTGTCATTTTCCTGTTTGGCTGGTTATACAACTGAGACTGGGAAACAAGAGGACAAAACCACATGCACAAGAACAGGCTGGAATCCGGGACTGAGGTGCTTCAGTAAGTCGGTGGAATGTGTCAGTATAATATCTAAGATACCCAAGGAAATTAGTTTGTAAGTATCAGGGTCCAGTAAAATATGGCAGGTGGTTAATCCTTTTGGCAGACAAAAACTAAATGAGTGGCCCACTGTCCTTTTTACAAAACGTAGGCATATTCTGTAAATAATGTTTCTCATTGAAACTTTATTTGCATTAGTGGTCATTAATAATTTCCTGTGAAGAGAATACAGATAATTCCTGAAATTGTTCATCACCTTGCAAGGAACAGAGATGCAATTGAGTCACTTTAATTAATGAGAAACTTGTACAGATCCTTGGGCCAGACAAATGCTTGATGTCTGCAGAATTAGTTAAGGATCCGTCAAGTACAAATGTGCTTTTTGTTAATGATGTTAAAAATTGTCAAACACTGTAGGCTTAAAATAGTAGGAAGTAAATCCAAAAAATCCCTTCTGCTTTCCATTTAATGATGGTGAGTGGAAGAGCTCTGGGTATATTTTCTAAAAGTAGGTGTGGTAGGAGTTAGGAATGACTAGAAGAACTGAAACTAGTAAATACAAAGGCTGTCAGTGTCAAATTGAATCAATGGTTAAGTAAATTTGAAACAGAACATGCAGGATATTTCCAAAATTAAGCATAATCAAAGCAATTGTGGCGTGAACACTCTACTTAAAATTTCAATAATAGTGTTAAACTTTTGCCTTAGTCTTGCTACTCAGTAAAATGACAACCTTAATTTCATCAAGGTACGCAAAGAAACATTTTTTTCTCCCATAGAAAAATGCACTAAGCCTGACCTCATGAACGGTGTCATCGCTGACGTAAAATTATTGTACAAAATTCAAGAGACCATGCGTTACAGCTGTGCTTCAGGATACAAAACCACCGGGGGGCAGGATGAAGAGGTGGTTCAGTGTCTCGCCGATGGATGGTCTTCTCAACCAGCCTGCAGGAAGGAGTATGGTATGTGCTTAAGAATTATTTCCCAAACTAACCCTAAGGGGTCATGGGCTTCCTACTGTCATATACTGATTATTTCATATATATCATGTATTATTTAATTATATATTTAATAGAATCATATTTTACTAGGACTGCAAAAGCAGGAAATTATTATATGTTTTTTCTCAAATGCTAGGTGTTTTCTTAATCCAAGGGTTCCCAACTCCCACAACACACCTAGTCCAGCAGTTTATAGTAACAATAATAACCATAAAAAGGAATTGGAGTGGAATGAAAAAACTTAATAGACCTGTTTTTTGCAACATACATAAATTACTATTTTTTTTAGAGAAGACATTGAGATGATGCACATTATTTTATACTGTAAACCAATATTAGAGATACTTAAAAATTATCCAATAATTTGAATACACATGCTTTGTTAGTGGTTTAAATTATAGAAATCCACAGATGGCACATAATCCAAAAATTGTTACTGCATAGGCCTTCAGTTGAATTGCGGCCTTTGGTCAAATACACTAAAATTTTAAGGCTAGAAGACTGCTGGAGGTAGGACGTGTGGTGTGTGAAGAAAAAAAATGGAGGGGCCAAAGCTAACTCCGTCTATTTTGCATTTTTGCCAAAGGTTGATTTGGTTATATATCTTAAGACCCGATGGAAATACATTTTGAGATTTCTATGCACTGTTCCAAGTTTAGTGATGAAGTTCATACAATAAGCAACTTTCATTTCTGCTAGAGACATGTTTGGCTCCGGAATTATATCACGGAAATTATTCCACAACACAGAGAACGTTCAACGTGAAGGGCAAAGTGAGGTATGAATGTGCTCCTGGCTACTACACGGCTGGTGGACAGAAGACGGAGGAGGTAGAATGTCACACCTACGGGTGGACTGTCACGCCAAAATGCACCAGTAGGTTCTCATTTTGAAGACAATCTGCTTTCACTCGGAACATTTCCTCTCAGATAGAAGCGTATATAACTTGTCATGCTAATATGTTCCCTTTTCATCCTTTTCTTTTGCTTCCGGTTTTAACTGTGTGGATAGTAGGTTTGGATCATTGAACACTCTCAAATAAGAAAGAATTTCTTTTAGCTCAGTTATTTAAAAGAAGCCTAATGATATTTAGTAAATATCTTAATTGACAAGCTTTTAATATGTATATTGAAGTATTGAAGTATGGCAGATTTACTAATTTGTATTCCAGATGTGACATGTAAGTGGTAGATGAATCTTTTTCTAGCAGGAAACAACGTAACACTTCCTTGTATTTTTGTTTGTTCTTTCGTTTTTAGAATTAAAATGCTCTTCTTTAAGATTAATAGAAAATGGTTATTTTCATCCTGTAAAGCAAACCTATGAAGAAGGAGATGTAGTTCAGTTTTTTTGTCATGAAAACTATTATCTAAGTGGGGCTGATTTAATCCAGTGCTACAACTTTGGCTGGTACCCAGAATCTCCTGTATGTGAAGGTAAGTTATAAAATTTTACACATGCAAAATGCAAATAAAATGTCATGTCTCTGATGGTATCTAATTCTTGTCCAGAGTGCTACTATTTGTTTATTTTAGCTGAGTCATTCTGCCACCTGTTGGCAGCTCAGCGGCAGCTCAGCAGCAGCTCAGCTCCGGCTGGGAATCAAACCAGTGACCATGTTGCTCAGAGCTCGCACTCTTGAGCGAGCTCTTAACCAACTGAGCCACTCGGCCGGCCCTTGGAGTGCTACTTTTTAAAATAAATATTGTCTTTTAAATCAGTGCTGTTTTCAGCAAACTTTAATACAGCTAATCTGAAGAAATCTTAAATTTTATATTAGATTGTAGAATGGATATATCTTTTAAGCTTATTTAAGAAAATCTCTTAGTATAAACTTTAAATCTCTTATTGTAATGAATAAACATATTGTTGGTAACTACTGGATCCAAGTACCTGAAGCTAGAGGCTTTGCAAGGGAACACTCTTACGTGGTTACTTATTTCCCGATGTGAGAATACAGTCTTCAAAATTGTGGGGTAAAGAGCAGGAGAAGCAACAGAAAGTTACCCAGTGTGAAGATGAGAAATGAGGTTGTCTAGGAAGAGCCATCTTACAATGCATCTAACGACTGTGGTTAAGTTTTGTCACTGGATGTGTTCAAGCAGGTGGCATGACTCCCTGTTAGGAGACATTGACTCAATAGTCATTTAATCACACCTACAAAGTGATGTGAGGGGGGCCTAGTCTCCCAGAGGAGACAGATATGGAAAGTGGAAAAGTAATTGATACAAGGTGACAGATGGTATAAAAAAACCAGGGATGAAGGATTTGAACAAACATTAAAGATGAGTGTGATGTGGGAGAACATTTACGGAGATGATGGAGAATATCCGAACTGGGCCTTCAAAGATAAATCAGAGTTTGAGGATTGGGAGGCATGAGGGGAAGCCAAGGGCTTGACAGCCTCGGTTTTCTCTGTAATATAGAAAACAGTGTCATCATTGACAGGCAGGGGAAAAGTAGGGGACAGGTGCTGAGAGGAGCGAAACGGGGAGCCCAGCAGTGGGACAGCACCGTAAATCTGCAAATGCATCGGACGATACCTTTCATGTTTGTAATTAATTAATTTGTTTGTTTGAAAAATGTCCAGTGCTGCTAGCAACCTTGGTGTACAGTAGAGAGGAAGATTGTTAGCGAGCTGTCTGTAGTGTATTACTTCAACACTCAGAGGCAGACCCACTTGCTTCCTGTCCCACATGCCCCTCCTCACCACCATTCAAGTCAGGCAGCATGCCAACGGGCCTGTTATTTACTCTAGTAAATAGTCATTAGCTGCGGGATGGGCAGTGTTGTAGGGTGAATAATGCCTCCCCACCCCCTAAAAATCTGTGTCCTAATTCCTAGAGCCAGTGAGTGATCTCTTATATAGCCAAGGGACTTTGCAGATGTTCGTAAGGATCTTGAGCTGGGAGTAACACCTGGGATTATTCTCCTGGGCCCTAAATGTAATCACGAGCATCCTTCTAAAAGGGGGCAGAGGGCGATCAGACTACAGAAGAGGAAGCAGATGTACACGACCTCAGGAGCTCACGTGCCCCCCCAGTGCTGTGTTCTGCTGGTTAGAAGCGAGTCCCACTGCCTGCTCCTGGGGACGGGTATGCCACGAGGAGGTGGGGGTTAAGGCGGTGACCCTAGAGTCTGTCTGCTCTCCTCCTTATGGTACTTGGCACAAAGGATGTGCTTATCCAATCTTAGGCATTCTTTTTTTGTAATTATGTGACAAAACATGCTGATGCTTTTCCACAAGGAAGAAGAAATCGGTGTCCTCCTCCGCCTCTGCCTCTGAACTCCAAAATTCAAACATACTCAACAACTTATCGTCATGGAGAAACCGTTCGTATAGAATGTGAACTGAATTTTGAGATACAGGGACCGGAAGAAATACGCTGTGATAATGGAAAATGGACGGACCCTCCGAAGTGCACTGGTTAGCAACACCCCACATCAGCTTCCCCGAAAGCAGCGGTTCTCAACCTGTGGGTCGCGACCCCTTTGGGGGTCGTACGACCCTTTCACAGGGGTCACCTAAGACCATCGGAAAACAAAAAGATATTTACATTACGATTCATAACAGTAGCAAAATTACAG